ATTGGCAGGGGAGAATTATTTTTAGGGAGGAAATAATTAGAGAATTGGAGGGCAGCGCGGACTGGGGGGAGAATTATATTGGACGGAACGAATTCTTTGGGGAGGACAACAGCAGCAGCGCTGAGAGCAGCCCAGCGACAGGCGAGTCTAAAATTCTTACGGGACGAGCTGGGCACGAGAACAACTGATCACCGGGCACAATTCAAAATCAGTATTTTCTTTTCTTGTGATTAGTTGGATGATTATTATAAATATGATTGTGTGTTTTATTTTCGTCATGAACTAAACCCCAATTTTTGGGGGAAACACTATAGGATGTAGCTATTTCTATATTTGATGGATTAATTCATATTTCTTTTCTTCCAATCTCTATCGCATGGAATTACTTAATACTTTGTGTTGACTGGCCACCAATACATTGATTTGTTGTTAATTAGGTTATTAGCGACAGTGAAACCCTAATAACTGAACATATTTCATGTGACATAGTAACTTATCGAAGCGACAGTGGATTAAATAAGGTGCTATGCGGTCTTAAATAGGATATCGATCTTCAGGCTAAATAATTAAGTCATTGAGCTACGACAGTAGGATTTGATTTAATTGTTTAGTACGTAGTAATTCCCGACAGGGATAGCTAGCGCAGTAGTGATATCCTGGCTGTAGAGATATGGATTAAACTAATTGGAATATGTGAATTAATTAGGATATGACAGATAGTGAATCCCGGTGTTTCTCCCAGAGCTTTCTCCATTGAATTTCTCCCGAACAGTTTTCATTTAGTTACTTTGTTTATTTTATATTGCGTTTAGAAATTATTCTCATTAAACTATTTTCACTTATAGTTTGCTCATAAAATTGATAGAACTTAAGGTGTACCAGTCCCTGAGAGACGATTCCCGGATTTCCGGTTTTACTACAAGATAGGAATTGAAGCATTACGCTTTTGCCCTATCAAGTTTTTGGCGCCGTTGCCGGGGACTGCCATACCTTATTTTTGTTGATTTTTGTGAGTGAACTATTTTGATCTAGGAGTTAGTGTGCAGAAGAATTTTCAGGTTTATCTTCCTCGTGCATGCCAAGGAGGACGGCTGGCAATTTACTGCCACTAGATCCGGAGATCGAGAAGACCTGTCGTCAGAACAAGAAGTAGGTCAAGTTAGGGAAGCAGCCAACCACAACTCCTAGCCCTTCCCTAACCCAGAGAGGGCAGGCTTCATCACCTGTCATCCCTACACCACCGACACCACCACCACCACCTCATTACATTGAGCCTGTCATGGCAGACGAGGATTGTTCGACCAAGGCTTGTTTGAATCGAAGAATTGGAGCCCGAGCTTCATGTGTTGTCATTCCGGCTGGGGATGCAACCATGGAGATTACCCCAGCATTTATCAACATGATCACCAATGGATATACTTTCTCCGGGGCTAGCAATGAGGATTCTCACGAACATCTCCGCCGGTTCGCGAGCATATGTGATACGATGAAGAGCCCAACTGTGTCTGATGATGCAATTCGTCTTCGAATGTTCTCATTCTCTCTGATAGGGAATGCATCACACTGGTTTCAGAACTTAACACCACGTTCCATCACGACATGGGCTCAGCATGAGAAGGTCTTTCTGGATAAATACTTCCTACCTGCCTTGGCAATGGAGATGCAAGAAGAGATTGCTACTTTTAAGCAGGCTGATGATGAGAGTCTGACTGAGGCATGGGAGTGCTATAAGGGGCTATTGATGAGATGCCCAAGCCATGGTCTTGAAGATTGGAACGTGATCATTATTTTCTTCAATGGAATCAGAAGGGAGTTTTGGGATGCCCTAAATAATGCTTCTCGAAATGGTTTCACAAGGATGGAGGCTCCAACAGCATATGAACTGGTAGAGAAGATCTGTTCAGAAGCCACTGAATGGGGTAGTGAGACCAGTATTCGAAGAAGAGGAGGCTTGCATGAGATAAACAGAGTTGCGAGTCTAGAAGCCAAGATAGATGCCAAGCTGGATTCTAAGTTTGATGCACTCGACCGAAGGCTGGCCAAGATTGCTCTGGGTAGACAAGAAGAGGTTGTTTTATGTGAACTTTGCGAGGGTTCTCATCATAGGGATATGTGTCCACTGGGATCTGCTCACAACCATCTAAAACATTCAAAACGGAGAGACTCATTGCAAAATCAAAAGCGCACAACTGATGCAAGTAAGCACGGTATCCAAACATGTCGAATGGTCAATGTTCTCCACCTAACTACTTCACCAAAAGTCATTACACTATCCTGACAAAAGAGAATGTTGCTAAAAGAGTTTGTTCATTTAAAGCATATCAAGTCAGTCAAAACATTCAAGCTCATTGTGAAGAACAATGCAATTCAACACTAGTGGGGGGATTTTGATGATTTCATTCAAGCAAAAACTCATATCACACGCATCACACTCATTTACATCATGTTACCACAAGAGTACAAGGTTTTATTTTTAATTTTCTGATTTTTTGGTGTTTTTTAGCCATTAGGTTAGCACAGGCAGACTGCATTAGCACAGGTATACTGCATGCAATTTGGCTGTGCTCAACCCAAATGACAGTTTTTTTTATTTTTTTTACCCCATGCAATAGGGACAAACAAACACTAAGACTCACCACCCCACACTAGGATGGAACATTGTCCCTAATGTTCAACGCCTAATCTAAACATGCATGGGTTTGACACAACTAAAAAGAAAAATAAAGAAAAGAAAACTTACCTTGGGTTGCCTCCCAAGAAGCACTTATTTAACGTCCTCAGCCTGACGTTCATGGAGCTTTCAACCAATGGGTATGGAAAGGTATCCAGAATACCCTCCCGAGCAATGATAGAACGCATAACCTCCATCCAACATATGAGCCACCTCTGCAGGGCCAGGTGTGCGAAAATTTGGTATGACCTTCTTAGCTTGCATGTTGGACCCCTTAGTGAGGCGCAAGTGGTATTGCAGTGCCTCAAGCAAGTACTTTTTCTGTTTCAATGTCAGTGAAGAAGGAATAATAACAGGACGATTGAAATCCCTACCCAAATATCTATACTTGAGGTGACCTGGCAATGATTTCTGCCCTTTCTTTGATTTCACACTTTGAGTTGCTAGGATATGTGATAGTTCTTTGGGTGGTCCACTATCATAGGAAGAGGAATTTTTCCTTTCTCGAGCTCCACTTTCAAAGTCATCAAATGCATCGTGATTATGTTCAACTTGAAAGACATTAAAAATATCCTCCTCCTTACCTACTCGGAATGTCAACTTGCCTCTCCCGACATCGATGAGTGCATCGCTAGTGGCTAGAAAAGGTCTACTAAGAATGAGAGGCACTCCCCGATCTTCTTCCATCTCAAGAATCACAAAATCTGTGGGGAGAATAAACTTCCCACCTTCACCAATACATTCTCCACCACTCCCTTTGGAATTTTCACTGATAGATCGGCCAATAGGAGAGTGATCCGAATAGGCTTAAGAACATCTCCCAATCCCAATTTCTTGTAGACTGAGTATGACATCAAATTAATTCCTGCTCCAAGATCACAAAGTGATTTATCGAACTCTGTACCTCCAATGACACATGGAATGGTGAAGCTGCCTGGATCATCCCTCTTTTCTAGTAATTTATTTTGAATCACAACACTACATTCAGAAGTAAGGGTAAACGTGTCAAAGTCTCATTGCAACTTGTCATTACTAATTAAAAAAACTTGTATGTAAGTCTCTTGCCACCAAGTAACAACAAAATAATATTATTATTAACAATCAAGTGTCAAATCTTGCAATAAATAATTATATAAAGTTACAATCTATATCATAGTAATAACTAGTACTCCTTAATAAGCTAACTAATTATTACTTCTATGATTTGAAAGTCAACATCAAGATTGTCTATCTAGAGTTGACGTCGAAATTTCTTCCTTCGTGGACTTCATTTGAGGCATCCAACACTTTTGTATCTATCATAACAACAATTAAAATTTCAGTTCTCAATGACAAGTCAGATCAACTCAAATTTGACAAAACATTGATAAAAAAAGTTGGAAACTTAAAGAGGGACTTAAAAAGACTTACCCAAATGCCTTTTTCTCAAGGCATGAACTATTTATACACTTCATAGCCTCTAAAGTATTTGCTCCTATTGCAGTTGTTCCAACAAATTGAATTAACAAGCCAGTATTCAACCCCAATGCAGGCTGAGAAAAAGAAATACTGAATAATAATCCATATACATACATAAGCAATTGATTTGACATATTTGTTGTTGTTGCTACTGCTTAATACAATCCAGTAAACAGTGACGCTTAAAAGCAGCAAGCTTGTTTTTGTTAACTTTGATGATCATTAACCTTGTAACCTCTTTGTCTCACAATTTGGCAGATTGAATAAACAAAGATACCATTCAACCACGAAAGAAATAACAAACATAACAAGCACCATGATGGAACGCCTATGCTGTAGCAACTACTTCTTCGCCCTCATGCTGCCAAAATAAACATTCACTACTGCTGCTTGATGCAAACTCGTCCCTTCCAGCACCCACACTAACATTCAAGAAGCTCCACTTTGCACAATTCTGGTCACTTGAAAAAGAATTTACAATGAAGGGTCTAAGTTAAACAATAATCAACAACATATACATCTAAGTTAGCCATTTGGCAGTTAACCATCCAAGCTTTATATAACTCAGAAAACTAGTTGCTTCACTAACAAAAGTTCCAACAGTTCACAAACAAAAACAAAAACAAGAGACAGTTCATACAAGATATGACTATCTAGCTACTACATGCATGTAGTATATGTCTCTACCAAGTCATACCTAGTTATATCATCTTCCACAACAACCAATTTCTTGAAGTTGCGATTATTGCACCTTTTACAATGGCATCTAGTTTGACCTAGCCGATCAAGATGTTTAAAGACAACCCCTATGAATACAGAAACACTCTTTTGATATTCATCACAAAACCTATCCTTAAGTTTAATCCAATTTGTAATCATTCTAATTGTATTGAAAGTTAACACTAACCTTCACTTATGAAGTAGATGGTCAAGATGAAAGCACACAGAGAGATGAACGAGAAAAGGATCTGCACAGGATAAATAACATAACATTAGGAACCCACTCAGTTAAACACATAATTGATCTCGTTTAGGGTTTTACAAACAATCAGGGAAGCAGGCAAACCACCAATTGGTTTCAAATAACAGTAAACTATTGAATTAAAGACAGTCCTCTTGTTTTACCTTTTCCTAGTGCTTGATGCGCATTCTCTCTATGCACCTATTCACTATAGGATGGTTGACGGATCAATACTGTAAGCAATGCCTGTCATATAAGAGTGAACTTAGCATCAAATAGAGTATTAGTTGAAGTATGCAAAACCAAAGGACCTAAACCATTAAGCCTTTATCTGTTGACGTATGCGAAACCAAAGGACATAAAATGATGAAAGTAAAAAAGGAGACTCAGCCACTATCCTAGCTCAATACAATCCCAACCCAACTAATCAGAGAAAATGCACATAAATAGATTTTTCAAGAGGGCTTTCCCAAACCCGAAGGACATATGAGAGAATAGTTTTATATTTGAGTTAATAAAATGTATATAAAAATAAATCTAAACTCTTAAAACTCAAAAATCAAAATCTTTTGACTCTGTGGACTTGAGGTTTTTGCGAACTATAATGGAAGCTATGGGGTTCCCTGCACAATTTCTTAAGTGGATCAAGATGTGTGTTACTAACCCTAGATTTAGTGTCAACTTTAATGGGGTATGACAGGCTATTTCTCTGCTGGGAAGGGATTAAGACAGGGTGATCCCTTGTCCCCTTATTTGTTTGTTATTGAAATGGAGATTTTCTCCTATCTTATGTATAGAGAGGCTTCTAGGGGGAGAAATTTTACAATGCTATATAGTATTGGTGCTATAGGTTTTTGCCTTGATGGTACAACTTAAAATTGTACATTTATGTTATGGTACAATTTTAGATTGTACCTATACTTTTTGTACAAATTCTTTTATGGTACAACTTGAACTTGTACATTTATGTGATGGTACAACTTCAAGTTGTAAAGTTGTACCATAACATAATGATACAAATTGTTTTATGGTACAACCTAAACTTATACATTTAATGTTATGGTACAACTTTGAGTTGTACATTAAAGCACCAATACTATATAGCATAGTAGAATTGCTCTTCTAGGGGACTGCTTCCCTTTCATCCTATGTGCAAACGGTTGAACCTAACTCACTTGATGTTTGCTAACGATTTGCTTCTCTTATCTGATGGTTCCAACTATGATCTGAATGCTATTCAAAGGGTGTTAGCTCAATTTCAGTTACTATTTGGTTTGGTGTCAAATCTATCAAAATGTGAGCTTTACTGTGGGTGGGAGAATGGGCGGCGTGGGGGGGGGGGGGTACCTTTACAATGGCAGAAACAAATGGCTGAGAGGGCTGGTTATAACCTAGGGTCTTTGCCTGTTCGTTATTTGGGATTGCCTCTTATCCCTGGAAAATTGACAATCAAGGCCTGTAAGCCTCTTATGGATAAGATGACTGCAAAAATAAATGGATGGAGGTCTAAGTTTCTCAGCTAGGTAGAGAGGTTTCAACTGATTATGATTGTCTTGTACAGTTTAACTCAGTTCTGGATGACTACCTTTATTCTCCCTAAGGCAGTCGTCAAGGAAATTGAGAAAGTTTGCAGTGATTTTCTATGGGAGGTGAAAGAAGGTGGTAGGAAGAAAGCTGTTGTTGCCTGGAAGCACATAACTCTCCTTGGAATAGAGGGCAGGCTAGGGTTGAGAGATTTGTCCACATGTAACCTTGCTTGTGTTATTCATCAGAATTGGGCTATCTTAGCTCAACAAGGATCGCTCTAGGTATCCTGGGTTAAAGAATACCGTTCAAAAAGTTTAGATTTTTGGTTGGTGGCAAGTAAGGCTGGATCATGGATTTGGAAAAAAACAACTGAAATGTAAAGCTATATTTGGGTCAATGCTTTAGGTCCAAGGGTCTGAAATTTTCTGGAATGGCGTGCTTATGACCAAATATAGCGTCAAGAGGATGTGGGAATTCTTGTATCCACATCGAGCTTCAGTTCCTTGGAAAACTCTTATCTGGACGTTACTATTCCAAATGATCAATTTGTGGCCTGGTTGGTGGTAAATGACTACATATGTACCTGTGACAAGATGATTTGTTGGGGATATAGACTAGAGACTAGAGACTAGAGACCACCTTTTTGCTTCCTGTGAAGTGTATAGATTTCTTTTTAAGGGATTGGTTTCTCATATTTCTAATAGACAAGTCTCGGGGCAGTGGGCTGTGAGCAAATTTAAAGGGAAGTCTGATAGACATTTTAATTATTTGGATTTACGTTCGATTTGAATTATTCTGTTCGGGTTTATTTGGTTATTGGGAAATAATTTGGAGGATTAATAATTTGGGGTAGTTAGTAGGTAATTGTGTTTGGATATTTAAACTATTGTTTTACGTAGGAAAGGTAACCAAAAGATTAAACCTAAAATCTAATTGCTCTCACCCTCCCTCTATCCTCTCTCTTGGCCGCCGAGCCTTCCCCACTCTCCCTCCAAGCTGTCGATCGGCAGCACCCCTTCTCCCTCCCTTCTTCTAACTTCAATCCTCCCAATTCACCCCTCCCCAGTTCCCAAATTCCCTGATCAATCCCTAGTTGATCCCTAATCCCCAATCTCTCGATAGAGCTTAATCCGGAGCTCTATCATTTGATATCAGAGCCCGGTTCTTGGGTTTCTGAGCAAACAAAGAACGACGATCACGATGGTGTCAATGAAGTCCATGCAAGCAACTGAGAAGGCCGCCAAGGCGGCGCAGGAGCAGGAGGCCTTGACGGGGCTGCCGACCACCGGTGAATGGCACGCAGCGGGTTCTTAGTCCGCGGGACGGGGAACTGGTAGATGAAATGGAGATGGGGACGATCCGAGTCAACCTGGCTCGCCTGGTGGCTGCGTTCGAAAGGGAACACGTGGAGATGATGGCGGAGAAGCGCGAGCGGGAGGAGGAGTCCCGGCGAATTTGGAGCAGGCTCGATGAGGTCCAAGCGACCCTGGCGACGTTGCGGGGCGCGCAACAACCCCCACAGAAAAGCAGCGGCGGCGGTACAGGGGGGGTGGGCTGAGCGCGGCAGGGGAGCCGCCGGCGGGCGACGGGGCAGCGGGCAGCGACCCGACCGCGGAGGGCGGATCAGGCGGGATGGCGGCGGCGGAGTTACCTCCGACGGCGGCGGCAGTGGTGAAGCAGGCGGCTATGGTGGCGGCCGCGACAGGCGAGGGCGATCAGGCCGGCGTGACTGAACGGGCAGGCCACAAATAGCTAGGGCGCGGCGGTGGGCCTGGGCTTCTGCCTACCCCGACGGCCCAAGAGTTGACGGCTCGCAAGGGCAAGGCCAAGATGCCCGGGTATGACAATGGGGCCCAGCGGACTGCGCATGGGCCGCCTGGGCACATGGGCCGAATTGATGTAGTGGGCCCATATCACGAGCCTAGAGGGCTGGGGTGGCTGAACATAGATCCAGAGCAGATCGAGGAGGAGCTCACCCCTCCCCAATTCCCAAATTCCCGGATCAATCCCTAGTTGATCCCTAATCCCCAATCTCTCGATAGAGCTTAATCCGGAGCTCTATCAAAGTCTAATGTTGCCTGTGATAGGAATATATAATTATTTCATTTTCTTAATTGTTTTCTGTTAGTTAGTTCCTATTGTTTAGCCACTTACCCACAGCACTACTTCCACTGTACAACGTGCTGCTAGGGTTCTCTTTGTATTCTTGGGTATAAAACCCACACTCCTAATCAATATACAACAAGTCATTCCTCCTCTACATGGTATCAGAGCTGCGCTCCGATCTCCTTAATCCCATTCTCTCTTGACCTTTCTTCTTCTTCTTCTCGGCCGCCATGTCTCAAAATGATGGTGGGTCAGTTATTAACCTTGACAATTCTCATACCATTATCACCCTCAATCCCGCCACTCAATTTCCCAACAAACTCAATGGCGAGAACTTCCCTACCTGGCGTGCCCAGCTCGTGACTCTTCTTCGCGGGCTTGACCTGCTCAAATATCTTGATGGCTCCCATCCTCCCCCTGCCGCCGATGCTGAGGCAGCTTTTCGTGTTCACTGGTTCCGTCAAGATCAACTTCTCCTCCACTCTATTCTGGCTTCGGTTACGCCCAGCGTTGCTCCGTATGTCACGTCTGTTGAGTCCTCCCGCGATGCGTGGCTGATCTTGGAGCGCATGTTCGCCAGTCAGTCTAGGCAGCGGGTCATGCATCTGAAAACAAAGCTCGGCCGCGAAACCCAAGGCTCCCGCTCCGTTGCAGTCTACCTGCAGTCTATGCGCACCATGGCGGCTGAACTCGCCTTGGTTCAAGCACCTATGTCCAATGAAGATATGATTCTTCATATTCTACGCGGTCTGCGTGAGGAATACGGTCCCCTTTCTGCTGCTCTTCGCGCCCGTGACACCCCCATTGCTCTTGAAGATCTGCACGATCGTCTAGTTGATTTTGAGGCCGATTTTGAGGCGCATCGATCCTCTTCTGCCCTAGCTCCTACCAGTGTGTTCTCATCCTTTCGTGGTCGTTCTTCCCCGATTCGCGGCCGCGGCAGTTCTGGCAGTCCTCGCCGCTCTCGCCAATTGCAACCTACCACCTACCCCGACACTGGGTATCGTGGTCATTCCCCCTCTCGTGGGTCTCCTCACCCAGCGCCTTCCTCAGCACCGTCTCTCCTCGGCCGCCCGCACATCCAGTGCCAGTTTTGCGATAAGCCGGGCCATACCGCCAAAGAGTGCTACCGGCTCCATGGTCGCCCTCAAGCCCACCATACTATGACTGCCGGATCCTCCTCCTCCGGCGGCTGGCTTCTTGACTCCGCCGCCACCAACCACGTCACCCCTGACCTCGATGGTCTCTCTCTCTACACCGACTACCATGGCCCTGAAGAGGTTATTGTCGGCAATGGTTCAGGTCTGCGAATTACCCACATCGGGCAGTCTAGCCTCCCTACTTCTTCCTCGTCCTTGGCTCTTTCTAATATATTGTGTGTTCCGGCTATTAAACGCCGCCTGTTATCGGTTGCCCAATTGTGCAAATCTAACCCGGTTTCGGTGGAATTCTTCTCTGATTGTTTTGTTGTGAAGGATCTAGCCACGGGGGCGCCTCTGCTTCGCGGCCTGAATAATGATGACGTGTATGAGTTGCCAGTGGATTCCCATTCTCCTGTTCGTCTCGCCTTGTCCGCCACATCCACCTCCTTCTCCACTTGGCATCATCGCCTAGGCCATCCCAACATCAAGCTGCTGTCCCGTTTACTCCGTAATCAGTCTCTCCCTGCCTCAGGCTCCTCTTGTTCCTCTTGCGAGTCATGTTCATTGCATAAGAGTCACAAACTTCCGTTTTCTATTTCGAGTTTGACAAGTACTCATCCATTCGATTTACTGTTTATGGATGTTTGGGGACCTTCCCCTGTGCTTTCCCTTGATTCTTACTCTTATTACTTGGTCATTGTGGATCATTTTACCCGCTATACATGGCTACCCTTTATCCCGTAAATCTGATGTTTGTCATGTTTTCACAACGTTCACTACGATGATCACCAATTATTTCCAAACTACCATTCGCCGTGTGTTTAGTGATGGTGGTGGCGAGTTCCAGAAGCTCTGTTTTTTTTTCAAACCACCGGCATTACTCACCTTCTTACACCGCCTCATACTCCGCAGCATAATGGCCTCGCCGAGAGAAAGCATCGCCATATCGTGGAAACTGGCCTCTCCCTTCTTCATTCGGCCAAGCTTCCTCTCTCCTTCTGGTCTCATGCTTTCCAGACGGCTACATATCTTATAAATCGCCTGCCCTCCTCCTCTCGTCGTGGTGCCACGCCCTATTTCTCCTTGTTCAACGAATTACCCAACTACCTGAAGCTCCGATCCTTTGGCTGCCTTTGCTTCCCCTGGCTTCGGCCTTACTCTCCCCACAAATTGGCCCCTCGTTCCCGTTCCTGTATCTTCCTAGTTACTCTCTCACTCAAAGTGCTTATAAGTGCTATGATCCCACTAGCCAACGAATCTTCGTTTCTCGCCATGTTCGGTTTGATGAAACTTCCTTTCCTGGCCTCGCCATTCCCGCAGATACATCCCTCTCCTCTACTGATTGGGTCACTCTCGCCACTCCCCCTCTTCAACAGTACTACCTTCCTCCATCCACATCCCCTGCTCCCATCATTCCCACTGCCTCTCCGTCCACCATGGCTTCTCCTCCGCGTCTCATGTCATCCGCCGGCTCCCCAGCGTCCCCTATGGCTACGTCCTCCCCACAAAATGCTCCACCACCACCACCGGCTAAGGTTGTGCCGCCGCGCTCTCATCCTATGTCCACACGCAGTCAGCATGGGATCTTCCGGCCGAAGAAGCTCTTCTCGGCTCAGGTATCATATATTGACTTTGAACCTCCTTCTGTTAAGCGGGCCCTGGCTTATTCTCGGTGGACCGCAATAATTCATGGACGTTGGTGCCCCGTCCCCTTGGTCACAACGTTGTGGGTTGCCGATGGGTCTTCCGCATCAAGCGCAATCCGGATGGTTCGGTCGATCGTTTTAAAGCCCGCCTTGTGGCCAAAGGCTTTACTCAACGGCCCGGCATCGACTATCATGAAACATACAGTCCATTTCTGAAGCCGGTTACGATACGGACTGTCTTCACCATTGCCTTGACCAATAACTGGCCGGTTTATCAATTTGATGTCAATAACGCCTTTCTCCAAGGCTCTTTGCAGGAAACTATTTACATGGCATAGCGTCTCCTTCGCTATCTCAAAGGCACTGCCTCCTTTGGTCTTCGCCTGACACCCACTGTCTCTCCATCGTTGGTTGCCTTTGCCGATTCTGACTGGGCGGGCGACCCGGATGATCGTACCTCTACTATGGGCTATCTAATTTATTATGGTGGTAATCTCATTTCCTGGAAATCGAAGAAGCAACGCTCTGTCGCTCGTTCCAGCACTGAGGCTGAATACCGTGCAGTAGCCCATGCCACGGCGGAGCTGCTCTGGGTTCAGAACTTGCTCACTGAGCTTCAACAGCCGCTACCTCAGCCGCCAGTTCTTCATAGTGATAATCTCGGCGTTGTTCATTTCTCCACCAACCCAGTCTTCCACTCCCGCATGAAGCATTTGGCACTTGATTTTCATTTTGTCCGTGAGCTCATTCACTCCGCTGCTCTTCATGTTCGTCACATTTCCACTGCGCACTAGCTCGCTGACTCTCTCACCAAGCCCCTACCCATTACACGGTTCCAGCTTCTACGTGCCAAGATTGGTGTCGTCTCCTCCACCATCTTGCGGGGGCGTGATAGGAATATATAATTATTTCATTTTCTTAATTTTTTTCTGTTAGTTAGTTCCTATTGTTTAGCCACTTACCCACAGCACTACTTCCACTGTACAACGTGCTGCTAGGGTTCTCTTTGTATTCTTGTATTGGACTGATTTGTACAGCCTTTGTACTTGGGTGTGTTGTTTGGTTATTTTCCTTTTTCACCTAGTTAATTGTCGAAGGTATATTTAGAGGCACTCGGCCTCACTCTGTAATCATCTCGGCTAAACCTAATCAGCCTCATATAGTGAAACCTAACTGAGAGCTCCAAGCTCTCCGTGGACTAGTCCCGATCTTCGGGGAAACCACGTAAATCATCGTCTTCTCTACTTTCCGCATTCTTTACTTGGTATCAGAGCTATAGATTCATATCAATACGTTTTCGCATCATGAGCAAGGAAGACGAGGCAAAGGACGTCAAGAACGTGACCTCTGGCACGGATACGATCCCCATCAGCTCGCCCTTGTATCTGCATCCGTCAGAGAATCCTGCACAGCTATTCGGTAGTGATCTCTTGAATGATTCCAACTATGGAGAATGGGTCAGTGACATGACTGAAACCCTAATCGCCAAAAACAAAATGGCGTTTGTTGATGGTTCTCTTCCGCGGAATCAAGCGGGGTCAGGAGAGCGCCAATCCTCTTGGGACCGTTGTGACGCCAACGTCAAAGGTTGGCTGAAGACTGCGATGACCAAGGAGGTCCGCAACAGTGTGCGAACTGCTACTACAGCTCGTGCCATATGGATCGACCTTCAGCGCCGCTTCAGCAAAGGATCCGCACAACGTGCCTACGAGTTACCTCGGACCATCAGCTCGACGAGACAAGAAAAGCAAACTGTCTCGTCATTTTATACCCATCTGCGTTCATTGTGGGATGAGATGCAAGCTGTAGAAGGAGTCGCACACTGCAGCTGTGGTGGTTGCACTTGTGGCGGGTGCAGCTGCGATTTGGTTCAAAAGCAACGTGAGAAACTGGACATCACACGACTGTTCGAGTTTCTGATGGGGTTAGATGATGCATATTCTGTCATACGGTCCCAAATATTAGGCACCAAGCCCACACCAACTCTCGCCGATGCTTATCAAATGGTGGCAGCAGAGGAACAACACCGCCATATCACTAATGCAAGGCGCCCTCCTATTGAAACAAGTGCTTTCCATACACAAATTGCTAGGGACTCAAATGAGGAACAAGACTCTCCTCGTTGCTCCCATTGCAACCGAAAGGGACACTTGAAAGAGACATGCTACAAATTGATTGGGTTCCCACCTGGCCATCCCAAACACAAGCCGACTGAAGATCGATCCGGCAATTCTGGTCGGCGTTCCAAGGCAGCACACGTGGAGAGTGAGACGATCCCGGTTCCTGGGTTAACTGCGGCGCAGTTTGCGCAACTTCAACAGCTGCTTTCTTCTGCATCGGACGCTCGTTCCGAACCCACAGCACACATGGCGGGTAATTATCCTGATCTTTACGAATGGTTGATAGATTCAGGTTGTAATGAACATATAGTGCGAGATTCCAGATGGTTAACTTCAGTTGATGACAACATTGTTCATTCACAAGTTCGTATTCCGGATGGGACGGGTATTCCAGTTAAGAACATGGGCACAGTCAAACTCTCTGATTCTCTTACTTTGCAGCGAGTTTTGCATGTCCCAGAGTTCAAATGCAATCTCTTGTCTGTTAGTCGTTTGACTCAGGAGCACAACGTGGAAGTAATTTTCTTGAATGATATGTGTATGATTCAGGACTCACATTCCAAGACTCTTATTGGCGTGGGTAAACTGCGAGACGGCTTATATTATTTGCAGCGTTTTGGTGAGGAGTCGGGTACAGCTCGTGATCCCCTGCCACAGGCTTGCAGAGTTGATCGTCAAGCAGCTTCTAAAGAACTGTGGCATGTTCGGCTTGGCCACCCATCTTTGGACAAGTTATTTTTATTAAAGGACCTTGTTGGTTGTAGCTTTGATTCCCGCAGCTCCTTTCATTGTGATCCTTGTGTCCGTGCTAAGCAAGCACGAAACTCGTTTCTTTTAAGCTCAATCAAGACCAGTACTTGCTTTGATCTTATACACCTTGATATATGGGGGCCTTACAAAACACCAGCCACGGATGGGTCACACTATTTCTTGACCATTGTCGATGATTACAGTCGGGGGACTTGGGTTTACTTAATGAAATTCAAATCCGACACTGAGCGCTATTTGCGGTCGTTCTTTGCATTGGTGCGTACTCAGTATGGAAAGAAGGTTCGACGTCTCCAGGCGGACAATGGTCCGGAATTTCAGACTGCATCTCTCCGTAATTACTATGAAGAGCAGGGAATTGTTCTTCAAACGACTTGTACGGATACGCCGCAGCAAAATGGCGTGGTGGAACGAAAGCATCGGCATTTTTTAGACACAGCTAGGTCGCTCATGTTCCATGCTAATCTTTCGGTGCGTTTTTGGGGCGAGTGTGTTCTTACGGCGGCCTATCTCATCAATCGCCTTCCTTTGGTGCCTTTGTCTCAAAAGACACCGTTTGAAATCTTGTTGGGACGGGTTCCTGCCTATACACACATACGGAGTTTTGGTTGTCTCGTGTATGCTAAAGACACACATTATACCTTGGACAAATATGCTGAACGAGGGCGAGCGGGGGTTTTCATTGGTTATCCAGACACCCAGAAGGGTTATCGTGTTTACGATTTGCACACACTGAAGATTTATACATCCCGTGATGTACATTTTGTGGAGAATACGTTCCCTTTCCGGTCGTCCACTAGTGGCTCACAAAAAGACCCTACTCACGTGCATGGTCCTTCTCCCATGCAAGCTTTGTTTGACTTGCCTCCTGCAGGTCACGTTGAGGCACTTAATGATGTGCCAAATTCTGATAATGATCCCATGGATGAAGTGGGGTGGAAAGAACTCCCCATCACATCCCCTTTGCCATCTACCTCGAGCACTTCTATGCAACAGGGGGAGCTCCTTGACGATGTAGACGTGTCCACCTCTCCTTCCCCTCCGCATGTCTCTACCCAGCAAGAAGGTCTTGATCAAGTCAATGTTCTTCCCGACTCACATACTGGCGGTGACTCGCCCTCACACCAAGCCGATCCTCCCGATGCTCTTCGTCGCAGCCATCGAGACAAACGGCCTCCTTCCAAGCTCGATGTGTACGAGGTAACTTATCCTAAGTCCTCCCATCATGTTCAGTTTCCTATATCCAATCATGTTAGTTACCACCGCTTCTCTTCTGACCACTGTGCTTTTTTTGGCTTCCATCACCAAATTGGATGAGCCCCGACATTTCTCCGAGGCTGTTCAGTATGAGTATTGGCTGGTCGCTATGCAGAAAGAGATTGATGCTCTTGTAGCTAACGGAACATGGACTCTGGAGCCATTGCCTCCTGGGAAACGGCTCATAGATTCCAAATGGGTCTATAAGATCAAATATCAGCCAGACGGTTCCATCGAGCGCTTCAAAGCTCGATTGGTTGCAAAGGGGTTTACACAGCTAGAGGGGATCGACTTCCACGACACTTTTGCTCCTGTTGCCAAGCTTGTCACAGTTCGTGTTCTCCTCGCCGTGGCGGCTCAGCGCAACTGGTCCCTCCACCAACTGGACGTGAATAACGCCTTTCTCCATGGCGATCTTGATGAGGAGGTGTATATGCGAGTTCCTCAAGGGTTCGCTCGGGATGGAGACACCAGGGTGTGTCGGCTTCGGAAGTCCTTGTACGGTCTCCGGCAGGCTTCGCGGAACTGGTATGCTAAATTTGCTTCCGCTCTTGTGGACTTTGGGTTTACTATGTCCCGGGCTGATAACTCTCTCTTCATATATCACACCCCGGAAGCATTTGTTGCCGTCCTTATCTATGTTGATGATGTGGTCTTGACTAGTGATGCTCCGGAGGTCATTCAGCGTGTTAAGACCTTCCTCCATCAGCGATTCAGCATCAAAGACTTGGGCGTGCTGAAATATTTTTTGGGTATCGAAGTTGCTCGCTCCCCTGATGGCATTGTTCTTAGTCAGCGAAAGTACACTCTGGACATTCTGAAGGACTCCGGTTTAGGCGCAGCTCGGCCCAGCAGTTTCCCTATGGAGCAGAACCACACTCTCACACGCCCCACCGATGATCGTGCCGACGATGTTAGCTCCTATCGACGCCTCGTGGGTCATCTCCTGTACCTTACCATTACACGTCCGGACATTGCTTACTCTGTCAACGTGTTGAGCCAGTTTGTTCATTCTCCTAGTCCTGATCACATTGCAGCCGCTCATCGTGTCTTGCGTTACCTTAAGACTGCACCGGGGCAAGGTTTGTTCTTGCCTTCCGCAGGGTCTTTGGAGCTTATCGCGTACTGCGACTCTGATTGGGATGGTTGCCAGTCGACCCGTCGATCTACTACCGGCTACTTTGTTCAGTTGGGAGGTGCGCCAATTTCCTGGCGGGCCAAGAAGCAGAGAGTCGTGTCACATTCCTCTGCGGAGGCTGAGTATCGAGCTATGGCCAATGCTACTAGTGAGGTTCTATGGCTACGCTTCTTGCTTCGTGAGTTGCAGGTTGTGCAGCGAGCTCCCACTCCTCTCTATTGTGATAATCAAGCAGCGCTTCACATCTCGGCTAATCCAGTTTTCCATGAGCGCACTAAGCACGTGGAAATGGATTGCTACTTCGTCCGGGAGCGCGTTAGTTCTGGTGAGATACTTCCTCAGAAGGTTAAAACCACTCAACAGCTTGCTGACATTTTCACCAAGGCTCTCGGTACAGATCAATTCCACAATCTCTTATCCAAGCTTGGCATTCGGGATCTTCATGCTCCAGCTTGAGGGGGAGTATTGGACTGATTTGTACAGCTTTTGTACTTGGGTGTGTTGTTTGGTTATTTTCCTTTTTCACCTAGTTAATTGTCGAAGGTATATTTAGAGGCACTCGGCCTCACTCTGTAATCATCTCGGCTAAACCTAATCAGCCGCATATAGTGAAACCTAACTGAGAGCTCCAAGCTCTCCGTGGACTAGTCCCGATCTTCGGGGAAACCACTTAAATCATCGTCTTCTCTACTTTCCGCATTCTTTACATCTTGGGTATAAAACCCACACTCCTAATCAATATACAACAAGTCATTCCTCCTCTACAGCCTGTACAGGTAGAGTTGCTTGGAGGGCAATGTTGGGATTGATTTGGAGAGAGATATGGTGTCTGAGGAATGGCTCTGCGGTGGTAAGGAGGAGTCCTAAAGTGCTGCTGCATTCGATTAAAGATGATGTGAGCGTAGTTGTTGGTAGTGCCAATGTCTCCCAGTTTTGGTCTGTCGAGTTGATTGTTTGCTCTTTGCTGGTTTTTTCGTGGCTATAGTGAGATAGATTTCATTCCAGAACCAGTATTGGTGGCTTCATTAGTTTTGGCTTAGTTTGTAACACTCAGTTGGCAAGGTGTGTTGCCAATAGATACTTGGTATTTTGATGGAATACCATATTACTGTTCATAAAAAGCAACCGTATATAAAATTTGGTAGTGGCATAAAAGAAAAGAAAATTTGGTTCACAATCTCACAACACATTTCCAACAATCTCACAGAATAATGAGATTCTAAATTGTCCATTTTGAGTGATTTTCAAATCAAATACATGTAATGCATTTTATATTGAAATAAAAAATAATACATTATATATAATACATGCATTAATTAGATACGCATGTATCATATATACCTCACTATCTGAACGCTCAAGGGAACTAAACAAAATTATAGGGTATACAAATTTGGCTCAAATTGATAATTGGCCTAAACATAAGTATAAAAAGAAAATAAGAGAAACCCGAAATAGGTTTCCAAATATTCTTTATGAATAAAAAATTTAGTGGATTTTAACTTTTAACAGGGCCTAGCATTTCTGGTCAGATTTGCCTCTCCAACCGTCATAATTAAGCAAAGCCAATTGCTAGCGTCCATTAGCTAGGATTTTTTCTAGAAATACCATTATTTAAAAAAAATTATAAGAATACCACCCAACCCAAAAATATTTCCAAAATTACCACCATTTCATGAGAACCGCCGCAGGGGAGAAGGTTTTCAAACAAACCACTCGTGGCCACGCGGCGTTCCTCGGGACCGCACGATGAAGGAGCGATCCGACGGTGGAACGCCTGCCAGCTCAGGGATCCGCGTCGTGGATAGAGGAAACGCGTGTACGGCACGCGTTTTTTTCTTGGAAAACGTAAAATGTTCCCCTAGGGCGCGATTTACATTCTACGCAAAATTACCAAACTGCACCCCCAGGCAGGCAGTTTGTGTGCTATATAAACAACCCCAATCCTTCATTTCTCTTTACACCAAAACCCACTCTTCTCCCTCTCTAAAAATATCTCTTTGTCCACTCCCCTCTCCAAGCCAAAACCAAGGAAATAGTGGTCTGTTGATTGCGGCTAAGTCGGAACTGTCATCTAGAAAAACATTTCTTTGATTTTTCCTTCAAAGCTCGTCGAAACGCTGTCCGCATTACCCCACATGTAGCTCCGTCCTTATGAAAAGTCCACATGGTAGCTCCGCACCTTCAGGGCAAAGCTCACGGATTTTCTGCAACTTCTCACTGAATTTCTTCTCTTGGTAGGCTACAACTGATGCATATACAGAAGAAAGGGTAAGGGGGCCAATTGACTTTGGCTCGTATATGGTGCCTTGATATAAGTGGTAAAGCAATACTACAACACTCGTTAGACTCTTAGGAGAGATCTAAATCTCCTTAGAAACACAACCTTCATGACAGAAAAAGGGGTGATCCGATAATCACTTAGAACCCAATCTTCACAGGAAATGGCAGGACCATGATGATTGCTTAAGAACCCATTTCCTTAGGCGGACATCTCTTTATAAAGAGTCTAAATAAGTGTTGTATTGTATTTCACGACATATTTTATCAATTAACAAAATTAACTTGCCAATGAAATATAATGCTTACCGGTCCATCATAGATTGCCAGCAAGCTTCCTCCGCTTGAAATGATGGTTCCAATTGCTTTGAAGTTTCGTATGCACCACCTCTGGGACCACTTCCAAGCTAGATCCAAGCCTAAAATGGCAGCTCTCACCCCGACGTGGCGATCAGAGATGATTGTCAAGTTCGTTCTCCTAGTGATATTGAGCTGATTTTGTCGGAAAAACAATCCATAGCTATCGGCATTCTCTCCCTCAACAATGGCAATTAGGAGAGTGCCTCACTGGCAATTAGGAGAGTGCCCTTGTACTTGTCGGTAAGGAATATGTCGTCCACTTGTATCACAGGGACACAGAAGGGAAAACCATCAATAGATGGCTTGAAGGAACAAAAAAGACGTTTGAAATGACGTTTGTTACCGGGCTCCGGCGGCTGAATTTCTTCATCTTGGTAGCGGGGGGAGAAAACAGTGTCAGGGTTAGACGCCTCCAATGCCAATAAAACAGTGAAGCCTATCGGTTTTTGGTGTCGACATAACAAACCGCTTGTTGAAGGAGCGATTTATGTTTGCAACCAAGAACCGCTCCTTCAACAAGCGGTTTCATCTAGGGCAGCCAAAAAACCGCTCTAGGGAGGGGCGATTTCTTGCCAAGGCTAAAAATGCCCCCTCCCCGAACGGTTTGTGTGGAAACCGTCTCCCCCTGCGACGGTTCTCAATTAATAGTGGTATTTTTGAAAATATTTTGGATTGGTTAATATGTTTATAATTTTTTTAAACAGGGTATTTCTGAAAAAATCCTCCATCAATAAGGACAGACACAAATCAATGAAATGGAGATACCTTGGCAATTTATTTTTTTATAATTTTTTTATGCAAACCGGGCCACCAGCCAGCGAGGCAGTCAGCAGTCAGCAGTCAAAACCTTTATAACAAAAATTCGATTAGAAGAAAAAACATTTTGCTATGACTTGAATTAAATAAATCTTTTTGTTATTTAGTTACTTGTATTGTGGATTTTCCAATCCGTTACCACTAAACCACTAAAAGAAATTACCATGTAATAATACAACATGTCAAAACGTTCAATAACAAAATAACTCACAATTCAGGGCTACGTGTTTTTTTTTTTTTTTTTTTTGAATAGTAATTCCATCAGGGCTATGTCTCATTACACATTAATCAATAAACTGAACAGGAAGCTTCCCCTGTGCATACTGTAATTGGGGTCTTCTTCCTGGATGTATGCATGTAGGTAATTGAAGTGGAAAAAGCCTAATAGTGAAGGGCTGGTGAACATGCTGATCAATCAAACCCATGAACTCACACGACCCGGTCACTCCCAAAAAGTCTTGGGTCTTCGTCGTCTTCTTATAATATCTTAGTGTCTCTATCTCTTTCTTATTAATGATAAGTCAAGTCGTCTCGGCAGTAGTAGGCTGGCAAGATATACACATGCAATGCCTCCATTGGTAGATCACTCGAACAACAACCACCACCACACCATTACCACCACCATCCTTCTCATCATCACCAACACCAAGCGCCACAACTATGGTCGACACCCCCTTTTCACTCAGCCTCATCTCCACACACACCTTGGCAAACGCCAGCTGAGACCGGCTCGCGGTGGCCCGGTCCATGTAGAGCGGCTTCCCAAGCACGCTGGCGATGTAGCTCAGCCCCTTGGCGTTCATGTACTCCACCGGCACACCGACCAGCCTCACCCAAACCGGGATCGCCGACGAGCGCTCCCTCGCCAGGCTCGAGAGCTGTAGGTTGGGCTGCCACTTCCGCATCACGAACGTCGCGTTGGCGATGCACCACGGGGAAGACTCCACGACGCGGTCGCGTACGTTTTGGCTGGAGAAGGTGAAGATGTAGAGCCCGTTTCGGGCCGTTCCCACTTGCTTCACCTCGATCCAACTTCCTTTGTTTGATGACGATATGTTCCACAGCTTGTTGGCTGCGTTGAGGAGGGTGGTTGTGTTTTGGTGGTGATGACGATGAGGAGAGGTGTCGGATAGCTGCTGCCCGATTAAGGAGAAGTCCCAGAATTTCTTGATTTCTTCTTGGGCGACTGTCCTGGGGATTCTGGCGGTCTTCTTGCCTTGGGGTGAGATTTCTGGCTTGATGAATTTCAGTTGCTGTTGGTCTGCTTCTTCTTGTTTATGATGATGATTATGGTTGTTTTTGTTTCCGTCGTAGGTGCAGGTTCTGGACATCCACAACCTCCTCTTCTGATCATCATCTTCTTCTTCTTCTTCTTCTTCTCGGGAGGCCCCTTTTGAAGCAGATGGAGCTTGGTGTTGTTGATCGTGCTCTATGTTAATCCTGTTTTCTTCCTGTGAAAGAAGATATATAGTTACTGATCAGGAAATTGGCTGTGTTGAATTGATCAAGGCGCTGACATTACTTAATATCCCGATGACTACATATATTTAATAATAATGTATGTGTCCCAAAAAGAAATGTCATCATCCGCCACTATATACGTACACAGACAGATGTATCAAAATCCAACTGGAAAAACAAAGCTAGCTGCTGTTTTGTTGCGAACTTGAATTAAATATTAATTGTAACTAACTACGTACAACCTTAAATATATCATTTTGTAGCATATATAATAATATTGATTACTTACCGATGAAGGAGAAGTGGAAGTGCCGGTGTCGTCAGCAGGCTTCGGAGGCGGGTGATCACCTGCAGGTTGGCCCGTCGTCGGCTGATCATGAGACCCTAAGTTTTCAGCAGCAGTAGCAGAAGTGGAATGGTCCAAGACAACAACTCTTTCAAAACTGACATTCCTCTCTCCATCTTGTGTCCCGCAGATCCTGACGAAACCATCATCGGCCCCGTTTTCACATATGAACAGATTCATCAACTGCTGATTCCCGGTTTCGAACCGTCGAATTGACTGCTTCACCCCACTCGCCATGTCGGAAGCCCTACCCATCTCGTGGACCTTCCGCATCATGTTCTTGGCTATGTTCTCCACCATTTCGGCTTCCGATCTTTCACCCCAAAACAAACAAACAATAGAAAAATTGTTTCAGCTTGTCCACGATTGATCATAAAATCTGACCTAGTTTAATGTAAAACAACAAAAGTAACATTTATTTTACAGGCAGCAATCATCAATTAATTACGTACGTACGTACGTACCTCTCACTGTGGAGAACCCAGCCGGAGATATCGGCAATGGAAGTGAGCGCGTGGCTCCAGCTCTCCACCCTCTCGTAGCTATATACCCTCTTGTGACGGTCGAAGTCGTCCTTGTAACACCCCGACGACTGGTGATCTACGACGTCGTTTGGGGACAGTTTGTAGAAGACCGGGAAAGGCTGGTGTCCTTTCTCCTTCATGGTCAGCATGATCTTGACCAGCTCGTCCAAGCAGTACTCCGACGACGCGTAGCCTCTGGAGAGCACGATGATGGAGAGCTTGGACTCCTCGATGGCGCGTGGGATGGCCTCCGTTACGTTCTCGCCGCGTGGGAGGTCGCGGTCGTCGCGAAACGCCTTGATCCCTTTCCGGATGAGGGCGTAGTAGAGGTGGTCGGAGAAGGTGTGGCGGACGTCGGGTCCCCGGAAGTTGAGGAACACGTGGTGGCGCCATGGAGTCGCTGGAGGAGGCGGCGGAACGGCGGGATGGTTGGCAGGAGAGTTAGGGAGTACTGGAGGTTTGGCTGGAGCGGAGGAGTGGGGGTGGTTGGGTGGGGAATGCGTCCGGCCCAAATGCCCGAAGCCGTGGTGGGTTTTTCCGGCGCTGACGGCGATGGGATGGAGGAGGAACAGCAGCAGAAGCAGTAGAGCTGTTGGGTAAGGCATATCGATCGGGAGATTATACTGACTGAGAGAGAGCCAAAGTGGCCGTGTTTATATAGGCGATGGCTGCCTGGGCCTTCGATTAGGTTTCCGTTTCTGCCTTTTTCTTGGTTGACTTTCATATCGATACTCCTACATATTATATATATTGTGGGAAGCGCATTCGCGGGTTCTAATAATAAAGTAAGTTAAATCTACGTAATTAATAATAAAATAGACTTTCGCGATTAGGTTAGATTAACATATCACAAACGACTGTCCTGCCTTTTGCTTTCTGTTTCTGTTTCTTTTTATTTTTTTTTATGTTTTATTAATTAAATTACTAAACCGCAGTCAACCAATAAATCACTTACTCAACGGGTTACAATAAAGTGGCGTTAGTGGCGGATACATGGGCCTTTAGGGTATCCCCGGACACCCCTAAAATTTAGGAAAACGATTATCCATCCTCCGGTAGTAGTTTCGTATGGAGAAAAAAAAAATATAATTGGTAATCCAGGACACCCTTAAATTTTGAAAAAACAATTATCATGTTCTCCGTAGTAGTTTGTGTATGATTAAAAATATATAAGTAGTATTTCTGTGTTATTCAAACCTAGGACGCTACTATTATTAAACATATTTTTTAGGTTGCAACTAATTTGTTGTTCTATTTTAAACACTATGTAATAGTAAAAACACTATTCTTTATTCCCAATTGTTTTCAAAACCTAACAATTAAATTCATTCGAGCTATCCTTAATTTGAATTGATTTTATAGGTATATTGCAAGAGTTGAAAGAGTCTTTCCAGTTTGAGTTACATCAGGAACAAGGTTAAAAAATGAATATGCGATCAGTTCGTGAATTATTGTCTAATATGATATATTTGCACTAGTCGAATATTTTTTTATTTATGAATTATTTAATTTAATTTTTAATTAAAATTAATTTTTGGAAGAGGACACCCCTATAAAAAATATCTGGATCCGCCACTGAGTGTAGTGGTGCGGTTTTGCGCCGCAGACGGCGATGGAATGGAGGCGGAGGAGGAGGAATAGCACCAGTGGAGTTATTGGGGAAGGCATATCGATCGGGAGATTATGGAGAGGTAATTACTATTACTAGAGCACTCCTACTATGCTATATAGCATTGGTGCTTTAATGTACAACTCAAAGTTGTACCATAACATTAAATGTATAAGTTTAGGTTGTACCATAAAGCAATTTATACCATTATGTTATGGTACAACTTTACAACTTAAAATTGTACCATTACATAAAAGTACAAGTTCAAGTTGTACCATAAAAGAATTTGTACAAAAAGTATAGGTACAATCTGAAGTTGTACCATAACGTAAATGTACAATTTTAAGTTGTACCATAAAGGTAAAAACCTATAGCACCAATACTATATAGCATCGTAAAATTTCTCCTATTACTAAGTAGAGGAATTGAATTAATTTACCTAGTCGATTAGGTTTCCATTTCTGCCCTTTTCCTAGTCGATCTGTCATCTGTTTGTGGGCTTTTTAGGTTCGCAGTAGTTTATTTATTTTTGGGCGAAATTTGGCTGGTTGCAGCACACCGCTGCTACCAGTCTACGTGGCCACCAATTATTGGCTTAAATTATACTAATTAATTATAAATGCTAATTGGATTTAGAGGGGACGGAGAAGCGGAAATTGACCAATTCTTTTGGACGGACATGAGACGGCGATAGAGTGGATACATGTATTTCTCACATGTTTTTTTTATGTATTATTCTTTTTTATAATTGTGATATAATCAATTTTTATTAATTCAAAGGAAAAATGAAATAGTTAAACAGATGCATGGATAGACAGATACATCATGGGTAGTAAATTAGCAACCTTAAATAATGGGTAATACCAAATAAGAATATGCTCATAGGAAATTAATTCTTTGAAAATAATCTTTTCAAACATAAGAGTAATTGTACTAAGGTACTAAGGAAATCCAAATACTGTCTATACATTCATGAGTCATGATCATGTACACGTGGATTTGTTATGGCATCCTACAAAATATTAAGATAGAATGATATTAGTGGTGAGTTGTTTAATAGAATCAAAATAAATAAATAAATTGAGTTCATGCAGGTAACAATTGTGTGAATGATATGTTTTTTACACAGATGGAAAATCAATGTCTTCTCTAATTGAACTAATAATTGAACTTTGCAATTATTGTTCGTTCCACACCTAATATTAAGCAATTGAGCTATTCTTTTTCCTTTTGAATTAATAAACCCCCATTAATCTATGAATTCTTTCCCTTCCGGCGTCGCTTTGTTGTTTTCAGGACGCCCCCATTAATCTACAAAACTGCTTAGTTGGTTGGAGAAAACCCCCCAAAAAAACCCTTAATAATAACTCACACAAACTGACAAAAAGATAACAAGCCGGTGGAAGTATATTGCATGTAACTATGAGGTTGAATTGATTTCATCAATAAGACTGCAACTTACCATTTTGATTTCCTCATTCATATGCGCCTACAAAAAATCACAATTTTACATTATTAAACAAAATACATTTTCGTAGTCATAACTTTCACATTTGTGATAACTATTTTATACTTTCGTGCATTTCGAAAGTTGTGGTTAGAACTGTCACAAATGTTAAACTTGTGACTATGAAAGTGTAGTTAAAATAAAATTAATGTTAAATTAGGGGCAATACATTGATGGATTGAGCTAAACCCGGCCCTTACAATGAATAGACCATCCTCGAGCGTTCAACAAGTAACTAGAGAAATGGTTAATTACATTACGATTCCTAATCTTACTATTGTTGACAGGTAATGAAAAGGAGCCGTAATATGGTATGGATGTATTAACATCAAATTGCTTACTGATTGATGATCTCGTGTATTTATAATAAAATTAAATGAAAACCGAGGGTGGTACGTTTGACTTTTAGGTGTAGGACTGTGTTGCTTTCTTTTCCGTGTTGATAAAACTGAAACCAATTAAGATTTGGTTGGTAAAATAAAATGGCGGAAAATTCTTAGCTCCAAGCTTAGTTGGACGCAGAAGCTCCAACCATTCAAGGTGTCAGTTTTTTATTGGTGGATTCTCCTTCTTTTTTTTCTTAATATTTAATTATGCTAAGTAAATCAAGAATTAAACTATTAAAAAAAGATGAAATCACCAATAAAAAACTGACACGTGGCTGGTTGGAGCTTGTGCGTCCATCCAAGGTTGGAGCTATGAAATTTCCGTTGATGGCCGCTGCACCGCGGACAATATTTAGCTCCAACCCGGGTTGGAGGAGCTTCGTGCAACCCACTTACGTGGCTGATAGGGATTGGAACAAATTTAATTAATCTTTTTTCCGTTTGTAACTTGTATAAGCAGGGACCGACCCAGGGAGGATTGGGGGTGTCTCCGGACACCCCTAAAATCTCGGAGAAAATTTATCAAACTCCTGATAGTAGTTTGAGCCTAGGAAAAAAAGGAAAAAAATAGTAGGTTATGGAATTCGAACCTGCGACACCCTAGCTACTAGCTAACATGTTTTCCATCACACTACAACTGATATCTTGCTATAATTTTGAGATACTGATACTTATACACATATTAATTTTGTCCACAATTTAACAACAAAACCCTAAAACTAAACACGACTCAGAATCAACTTTGCAAAAAATAGACCCTGCGTGCTGGGCTGCTGGCTGCTTCCATCAAGCTCCTTCAATCCGGCGAGCTCCTTCAATCCAGCAACGCTGAGCACGATCCGACCTCGCCCTCCTCTGCCGGCCTCGTCCTTGTTCATCGGCCACGACCACACTCGCCCTCCTCTGTTCGGTCCTTGTCTCGTCCTCCTCCATTTCAGGCGCTGGCCGCTGCAACTTACCCTGACGGTAAGCTTGAACTTGCTGCCATATACAACAATAGAACTTTCAATTGTTAATTCCAATTGAACTTTTCAATTGTTAATTCCCATTCGTAAGCAGTAGTAGTCCGTAGGTTACTAGGTTGTGTGAATTCCATTTGTTAATTGGGGGAAGTTGAGATTGTGGGGCGAAACAGCACTAGTTAGTGTGAATTCCAATCTAATTTGGGGAATCATAACTTTTGGGTAGGGAAAGTAGCGGTAGTTTTATAGTGGAATTTCAATTCTAATTTTATGTACATTCTATGCTAGATCAGGTACCAATGGAAAGATACTACTAAAGACAGGTCCAATCTACTTGAGGATGTTATCTTGTTTTGCACTAAGGACTCTGTTCACGTTCTTGGCATGGATGTTGAGTATGTTCTTCCAGGACGGTCAAGGCGCAAGGCTCCACAGATCACAAACTTGCATCACTATCAGGTTGAATTGTATTACTCTGTTCTTGATATGCAGCTGCAAGAGTTGAACAACCGTTTTTGATGAGGTGAATACTAGGTTGTTGACTTGTATGGCTTCTCTTACCCCGGAGAATGAGTTTGCTGCTTTTGACAGGGAGAAGCTGGTTAGTCTTACTCGATTTTATCCTACATAGTTTGGTCATCTTTTTGACTCTTTTCTTCTAAGGGACTTTGAGAATTACTATCATTCTGTGAAGAATGATGAGTTATTCCATGGATTAAAAGAAATTGATGAATTGTGTCAGCTGATGGTGAAGACAAAAGTGAATCTATCATATCCATGGGTATATTTGCTTCTCAAAGTTTTATTGACTTTACCTGTTGCAACTGCAAGTGTTGAAAGAGCATTTTCAGCTTTGAGTTACATCAAGAACAAGCTTCGGAATCGACTAGGTGATCAGTTTGTGAATGATTGTCTCTTAGGATATATTGAAAGAGATTTGCTGAATACTGTAGACACAGAGTGTATTTTAGAATATTTTCAGAATATGAAAACACCACGTGGAAATTTGTTGTAACTTCTATTAACTAAATATTTGTGTTATTGAATATTATTCGGATACTTTTCTTATTTAAGAATTATTTTATTTTATTTTATTTTTAATTTTATTTTGAAAGCGGAAACCCCTACTTAAAATTCCTGGGTCCGCCACTGTGTATAAGGAAAGTAAATGAAAATTCCTTATTTATGCAACCCATTTATTAGTATTTAGAAAACCCAAATAATCAGTATACAAGAAAAAAATAAATTATG